CCCTTCTCCTCCTGCCTTCAGCCTGTCTCAGCATCAGGATCTTTTCCAATGTGTCAACTCTTCCCATCAGGTGGCCAAAGTATTAGAGCTTCACCTTCTGCATCAGTCCTTCTAATGAATACTCAGGGTTGATTTCCTTTAGGATTAATTGGTTTGATCTCCTTGCTATCCAAGGGACTCTCAAGAGTCTTCTCCAGCACCACAGTTCAAAGGCATTATTGTATTTATAAGGGGCATTAGACAATCACCTCTAATTCTTTGAATTTTGCATTTATCATCTTCAAAGTGGTGATTGCTTAAGAACTGGAAGATGAAAAAAAAACAAAACTGGAAGATGCACCCTCTTCATATACACCTAGGAACCGACTCCAGTGCTAGTTCACTCTAAACCTGGGAGAGCCTGATGAATCTAGCCATCTTCTTAAGGGGAAGAACAGTGAATGAGTGTGTAACTTTTTTCCTGAGTGTCACATGAGCCCTGAAGACAGAAGGACAGTGATCTAAAAAGTATTGAGCTTCCCTGATGTGGCAATACTCATTCCTGCAAGGACAGGGTTACCAGAAGCTACACACCTGATCAGGAATTCTACTCTTCTGAGGGATGCCGCTTGTCTGTGGCTGTCTCTTTGGCTTCCTTTAAGCTTCTGTGCATCTGGCCAATTAGCGTGGGACTTGACCCAGTCTACACTGTGTTTGTTCATTGGTATCAGTTCTCCAGTAAGGCATCCATACCACCCCTAACACTTCACTGAGACCCACTTTTCTGTGTACGGAAGTGTTCTTTTTGTCCACACATCCCCATCTTTTAAAAGATATGCTTAGAGTGAGCACCATGATTATTCATCTTAATGATTACCCACCTCTTGTAAAGGTTGATGCGTAGTGGGTCCTCAAATATTTAACTGAATAGAGAAACAAAGCAGTTGTACAAACACTTTATGCTTTAAAGCACTTAGTATTTATTATTTTATTTGGCTCTTCAGCCAGTGGATTTTAAACTATGATATCAAGGCATGATGTTGTTCCTTGAGCTTAACTGAGGGCTTTTGCATCTAAAATTTAATGAGTCTTATCTCGATTGGTTGAAAATCACCAATGAGGGGTACTTCTTTTCCACTTTGGAAATTCCTTTCCACCTCAACTTTTTTTTTTCTTAAAAGCTTAAATTTCTTTCATAAGTCTATACCTGTTTTTGCACAGAATTGTGTTTTACTATTTTCATTTACATAGTATTCCAAGAAAATTCACTTGACTCCTGCGAGTTGAGCTTTTCAAGCAGATAAGGTAACATTGCTCAGAGCTAGTGCTATACCCTCCTTTTTCTCATGTGTGGATATGTGAGGAGGAGGTTGATTCCTGTATAAAAATTATTTGTCAGACAGTGGTGTGTCTCATACATGCCTTATTTTACTTCAGCTTTCCATCAGCTCTGTTATGCAATGGTATCACCAGGAGTTAAATGATGAACTTGGGTCACAGAGCAGTCCATTGTCACAGAGCCAGGAGAGGTGAAGTTCAGTCTGTTTGATTCCAAAGTCCAGGTCCTCTCCACTGTCCTCACACTGTAGTTTTTAAGAGTCTAATCTTTACTAAACTCCTTCAAGCAGATGTTATATTTTAAATGCCCCCGCCCCACAGGAGTTTATATAAAACTGAATATAGTTGACTCTCTCTCTCATTTCAACTTGGCTTACAAGGTCTGCCTTCTACCCTATTATATACATTCAAAAAGTGTGTTAGTTGCTTAGTCGTGCCTGACTCTTTGCGACCCCATGGACTGTAGCCTGCCAGTCTCCTCTATCCATGGAATTCTCCAGGCAAGAATACTGGAGTGGGTAGCCATTCCCTTTTTTCAGGGGATCTTCCCAAACCAGGAATTGAACCCAGGTCTCCTGCATTGCAGGCAGATTCTTTACCATCGGAGCCACCAGCAAAGCTCCATATTGCATCCCTGGATTTGCTCAAATCATCTTCAGCACTTCTGATTACTTGCTTACCCTTATACCCTGGAATGTGTCTTCCCTTGTTTTTAAACTGTAACTCTCTCTTCCAGTCACCTTTGAATGGTGTTGAGAATTTAAAAAATTAAATTTTAAATTGCCAAGTGAAAGATTGTTTAAAACTCTGTCACTTTCCTATTTAAAAATATTCATTGGAGACAGCAAAGAAAAAAATTAGGTGACTTAACAGGAGGTGTTTAGTTGTGGGATTCTGAAAAGTGGGGAACAAAACTTATTCCTGAAGAGTTGACAATGGATTTAAGAAAGACCTCGTTGTTTTAAAGTTTGTTTGTTAACTTTCCAAATAGTTGGTCCACAGGCACAAAACTGAACTGTCATCTTCTGCGGGCCATGCTACAGTACTGTGGCATATTGATTGATCACAGAAATCCAAATACATGTTATTATAAAATATGTTTTAAATAATTTATTTTTTTGTTAAAACAGCAGATATTAAGACAGTGAGACTACAACAACAACAACAACAAAAGGGATCAGTCATGTTTTTTAAGTTGAAGGAAAACTATATGATGTAACTTAAGGAAAATATATTTATTACCCAAGAAGAATGTCTTTCTTTCACCCTTCTTCTCACTCTCTTCCTTCCACCAGCATAAATAGACATTCTGTGTATATATATAGGTACATATGTATAGGCATGTGTGTGTGTGTATATATATATATATATATATACACATATAGGTATGGGACTTAGCTGAAAATCTGTGTAAGTGAAATTGTCAGTCACTGAAATATTCATCTCTGTGCCTCTAAATCAACGTATTTTGTGACCTTGGTGTCATGTACTGTGCATGCATGCACGCTAAGTTGCTTCAGTCGTGCCCCACTGTTTGCAACCCATGGACTGTAGCCCGGCCAGGCTCCTCTGTCCATGGGATTCTGCAGGAAAGAATACTGGTATGGGTTGCGATGCCCTCCTCCAGGGGATCTTCCCTATCTAGGGATTGAACCCGAGACTCACATCTCCTCTGTTGGTGGGTTCTTAACCCAGAGTACTGCCTGGGAAACCCATCATGCACTAGTTTGACACATTTTTTATTTTTGTTTGTTTGTTTTCCAATTTGAGATCATTGATGTACTCGTTTGAGTTAAATGCTTAGAAACAAACCAGAGTTTCACAAAATTAGCCCCGTTCTCTTCTTAATTTTAAAGATAATGGGTTACTTCTGAGGATATTACATTTAGACTAACTTGTTCACTTGGCGTTAATGGTAATTCAGGGGCATAACCCGAGAGACTTAGTCTTCAGATCAGCTGACAGAGAGAAAAACATCCTGGTGTGAAGCTGGGACTCTATTGTCTAAATTTTATGGTGCTTTCTCTTTTTCTCTTTTATTTTCTTGTTTTTTTGTGGTTTTCTTTTTTTGTTTGTTTGTTTCAGAGAATAATTGCCAACCATAGAACTGTTGGTGTGTCACTTGCTTAAGAAACGTTTTATGCAGTTGATTGTACATGCAAAGCAGAAAGAGACTCCCAGGCACAGAAAGCAAACTTAGAGTTACCAAAGGGGAAAGGGAGGAGGGGAGCCACCAATTGGGGCACATGATTAACCGATTTGCACAGAACTATGTGTTAAATAGGTAAGCAACAAGGGTAAACTGCATAGAACGGGGAATTGTACCCATTAACTTATAATAATTGTAGTGGAATAGAATCTGCAAAAATGCTGAATCCCTCTGCTATCCACCTGAAACTAACACAATGTTGTAAATCAACTATACTTGAAAAAATGTTTAAGGTGGAGGTAGAGAATAATGTAGTGAAGTACCTATTAATAAAAAATAAATAATGGAACATGAACTTGGACTTTATTATACCTTTTGGCATAGTGTTTCATCCTCAGTAGCACATTAATTTCTTATTATAAAATAAGTTTTTTTTTTAAAAAGCAACTTCTAACTGAATAAGGGTGAAAGGTGTAAGAAATTCCATGTTTTGTACACAGAATAAGGATGTTATAGCACATAGAAAAATCAGATTTGTAAATAACTTCAAAATGGATTCACTTTTTATAACTGTACCATGTAGAATGAAGTATGAAAAATGTTATTTTAAACTGTGATAGCTTGAATTACTTTCACAATATTGATAAACAGAGAATTGCATTTCTACTATTTTTTCCCTAGAGGCACACAAATATAAAGTTAATTTTTATAAGAGCAATTTCTAAGTCACAGATTTTTGGAGAGTTTCCTATATAGTGGTCAGTTGTGTATGAAACAAATTATTTTTAGCCTAATTGCAGGCAGAGTAGTTAGGCCACTCACTCTGTTAAGGTTGAATTTCATTTGAACTTTCTAATAGTATGATTTGTTTTCAGAATTTAATAACTGACTCAAATATTTAATAGTGAAACCTTTCATTAAATTTAAAAGAAATCAGGATATATTTTTAGAAGAGCTAACTTATTTTCCTTATCAGTTTTATCTACTTTAGGAGAAAAGAAAGAGAATGAAGCCCATCTCTTTGTGAACTTAAATAGACATTAATGCTATAACCCCAGCAAATAATTTATTTCAGTATATATCATCATTTAGAAGAGTTGGGAAGCACCAAATGGCAGTAATAACTATACTTCCAGCTCTCCTGAATAGCAAATTGCACTGACTCTGTGAAACTCTTCACTTGTCTGCTGGATAATCATTCTTTTTAAGACTCAAATATATTTTCTAGACCAGTTTTCGATTGCACATTGTCTACTTTCTCACTGCCTAACCGTTTTCTGTTGAGCACAACGACTTATTTTGAAATGTGAGTGGGGAAAGCCAAGAGTTGAAAGATTTTGTTTCCATGTGTCATCCTAGAAATAGATGACAAAAAGATCATTAAATGGATTAATTTACAGGCATCCTTAGAATAGAATGTTTTTACGTTAAAGCCTGTTATAAGCCTTTTAAATTAAATTGCATTGTACCATACTCTCTGCTCCCCCCGCCCCCAGGGGTCTCTTGACCTCTCACCTCTTATTTTGTCCTCTAGGCACTCCACTACTGGTGAGGAGAAGCAGTGACCCAGCGCCAAGCCCACCCGCTGATGCCCAGTCAAGCGCTTCACTCCCCGGTGGTCAGAGTCTGAAACCTGTGATTCCAGTAGGTATCCTGTTGTTTGCATTTCTAGTGAAAGATCAAAGCACCTTACACATAAACTAACTGGGACATTACAGTCTTAAGTAAGTGGATGATTAGAGATATTTTGATAGGGTATGTAATATTACTTATAAGATTAATAATAACTAATATGAGCTATTGCTAATATCAGTTATAGTGAGAGCTATTATTTATAGAGCACCAATTGTGTGCCTAGGACTGTTTAAAGGGCTTTACATGGTCATCTACACTTCCACCTCAAAGTACCAATTTGCTTTTGTCCCCATTTTACTGATGATGTAACTAAAGCAGAAGGAGATCTAATGATTTATCAAAGGTCACAGCTAGTAAGTGGCCAAGTCAAGACTTTAACCCAGGTGGTCGGCTGCAGAACCTGTGCTCTTAACTAGTACACTATACAGTTGGATCCCTCATCCTCTTGCTTCATGATGCTCCAAGAGATAGTTTATCTGTTTGTGGTATGTTCATGCAATGCTGTGTGAAGTCATATAATGGTGAATGGTTTCACAATACTGGTATCATAGACATGTGGTACCAGTAACCGAATTTCTACATCTCAACATTCAAATGAAGGCAAAGTGAAATTAGATACCAGAATGCTTACACCTAATAAAGCTTATAACTGCTTTACTTCTAACTGAGAAGCGAAGTGGAGAATAGCTTACTAAGAGACCATGTCCTCTTTCCATATGAAACTGTGGGATTTTTCTGCTAAATCCCAATCTTCTTTGAAGAGTTGTAATTATGGTTCATTCTCTGAAATTGCCTAAGAGTTAGGTTTTCAACGATGGCTGGTATCATTGCAATAAGTGATCTTCAATAATGTCACCCTATTTAAAAAATTTTCTGAAAGTGAATCTCTTCTCCATTTTAAGTCTCACTGTGTATGACGCCTTCAGAAAAAAAGGCAATGTTTTTGGTATGTAGAGATACTGAGTGAACTAAATGGATTCTCCCAGGGTGAAATAAAATATTCTTAGTAAGAAACTGTTAATGTGTATGACAGCTTCCCTGGTGGCTCAATGGGAAAGAATCCACCTGCCAATGCAGGAGATATGGGTTTGATCCCTGGGTTGGGAAGATCCCCTGGAGAAGAAAATGGCAACCCACTCCAGTATTCTTGCCTGGGGAGTCTCTTGGACAGAGAAGCCTGGTGTTCATGGGGTTGCAGAGTCAGACATGACTTAGCAACTAAACAACAATAATGTGTATGAAGTAGAGGTCACCATACTAACTCATGGGGTAATTAAATAGGTTTACAGCAATATTTTGCATGTTTCTTTTTGTAAGCCTGGAAGTGTCCTGGAAATATTTTAGATGTAATGTTTTCTCACTTTCCCTCCTTATAAGGAAACATATTTAATAGAACATTATTTTAATAAAAATCAGGTGTATGTGTTCTGCTCTAATGATGAGTATAAACAGAACCAGTATGTGGTGTGGCATTTGTATGTGTGTTTAATGCCCACTGATTGAGCCCACATTAAGCCTAAATATATTGGATTGGAGGAAGAGAAGAACTATAAAAATGAGAGAAGAATTACATAAAGGAGAAAAACTATAATTTACTGCTTATTTTTATGATGTTAATATACCTCCAAACCGAAGTGTGATCTGTGTTACCATGATTTACATGCAGAAACCCCACCAATATTAGGTCCATGTTTCTATCACTCAGGCTCTGTGTTGAGATCAACTGAAAATACAACAATAAAGCTTTCCCTAGACAAAGAGAGGGCTACTATCTTTCTGCTACATTCTATATCCTTAACAAAATATGATACCGCCATGTTCCAAGCTGGGGTGTTTGGAGAGGACTATTCAGGACTGATTTCCTTTACAATTGACTGGTTTAATTTCCTTGCTGTCCAAGGGACTCTCAAGAGTCTTCTTCAACACCACAATTCAAAAGTGTCAATGCTTCAGCGCTCAGTTTTCTTTAGGTCCAACTCTCACATCTATACATGACCACTGGAAAAACCATAGCCTTGACTAGATGGACCTTTGTCAGCAAAGTAATGTCTCTGCTTTTTAATATGCTCTCTAGGTTTGTCATAGCGTTTCTTCCAAGGAGCAGGTGTCTTTTAATTTCAAGGCTGTAGTCACCATCTGCAGTGATTTTGGAACCCAAGAAAATAAAGTCACTAGGTGTTAAATGAGGACATTTAGGTGTGTTTATTTTTACCAAGAAGCAAATGCATTTTTATGTGCGAAAGTGCACACACACACGTGTGTAACAGCTATCCCCCTTTATCTCTGTACTTCCTAACTCATGTGCTAGTTACACCTGCTTGTTCAGTGTCATAACCACTGGCCACATGTGGATATTGAGCACTAGAAATGCATTTCAAGTGTGACATACCCACTGGATGTCAAAGATTGAAATATGAAAAAAGTAATATAAAAAACCTTATTAATAATTTTTTATTGACTCCACATCAAAATGATACTAGGTTTGGTAAATTCAGTTGAATAAAGTATATTTAAACTGTTTTCACCTGTTTCTTTGTACTTTAAAAAAAAGACACAGCTACTAAAAAATTAAAAATTACATCTGTGGTTCACATTGTATTCCTATTGGACAGAGCAGCTCAGACCTAAGTAAAATTGGATATAGCACTAATGAAATGGTTTGAGACCCTTGAGAGAAAGTTCTTTGAGTTGCACATCATCTCTGGGGTAACAGCATGATTAGGTTTGCCTGGGGCAGTCTGAGTTCATGTGGCATATTTATTAATCGTGTCCCTGCTAACTCTCAGAGGTGTCCATGTATGGATGATAAATTATGTGGCACCCTACACATAGCCCTGTAGTCACTTGCAGTGTTTGCTCAGTGATCAGAGGAGCAGCCTTCCAAGGAAACCATGGGAACGTAGCAACCACAGCTCTTACCTGGGACCACACTGCCCAGCGGACTCTGTGTGTCTCGGGCCTGAGCCCAGGCGGTGCAGAATTGGAGACTATAGATTCACCATCTCTCAGACTCTGTAATTCTATCCATGTTTCCTCTATCACTTCAGCTACAGTATAGTTGATTCCTGTGGTTTGATAAGGGATGATGAAAACAGGGAGCATGTGATAATGTACCCATGTAGCCACTGATATGAAAAATAATTGCTTAAAAAGCTCCATTCTATTGCATTTCATTTCAATACCCAAGAAGAAAAGCAACTACAACAAAATTCCCACTCTTAAACAGAGTGTTCATATGTAAGTAATTCACAGATGGCAGAGCCCCAAGTGGGTTACATTCAATCATTCCCAAGAAATGAGACTTACTTAAAATCCACAGCAAAAGAAGCTGTAAGAATGAATATTTGACACATTTGATTATGTTGAAATATTGCGTCTAAAACCACAGTTGATGATTGTTATTTTTAGTTGTACTTCATTAGACTTGCTCTAGAAGGGAGATTTTTCTTTGATGTCCAGAGATATGTTTTTTGAAATGCTGGAAAAGTCATACTTGTTTTCTGGCTGGTGAAATTATTACAGATTGGTTATTTAAGATGTACAGCCTCAAACAAGTTGAAGTTTTTAAAAAGGGTTTAAAGTAGAAAAATCAGATCTTCAGCAAATTTCTAATTCTGTGAATATTACAAAGCCACGAAACCTCAGTATTTGTCTCTAAGAGTACCACCAGATAAATTTGTTTCCTTCCTTCTTCTTTTCATAAACCTATCCAGTTAGTCAGAATAACATAATTATTAATGTGCATATATTATATGACTATTTATCTTTCAAGGAATAGAAAATTCAATTCGACTGACTGCTTGTGAATCAAAGAAGGAGAATCCTGGAGGCAAGATAGTGTAGTAAGAATCTCCTTATGGGCCTCTAACCTTCCCTGCCTTGATTGTAACCTGGTGTTCTTGGCTTAAGGGCATGCCATAAAGCCAGGTTCTTGAAATTGATGTTCCTGAATTTGCGGATGGAAGAGAACTCTAAAACAGATGTGATTTTTTCCCCCCTTAATATCCGGTTAACTACCATGGTTGTTTTGTGTTTTAATGACTGTTTATGGTTTCACGTTTAACCCTAGGGCAAAATGATCCTGCAGGGTGAGTAAATTAAAAAGTGGATTCCTGAAAACTATAATGCTGTGCTTGTTCTCTTTGTTTGTTCTAAAACTATTTCTTGTCTTGATTCACCAAAATAAATTAAGAAAATACTGGTCTGTTTTTTAGGCTATATCTAAAATATATGCATTTTATTTCCAAAAATAGCATGGTCGTCTTTGAAGTTGTTAAATTGGAAGTCCGTGGATGGGTCAGAGAGGGTCTGTTAAGTCCGTCAAGTTTTATGCATGGCATAGTGTGTGTGTGCGTCTGTGCATGCACGTGTGTTTATGTGTGTGTATGTGTGTCCTGTGGAGAAGGCAATGGCACCCCACTCCAGTGCTCTTGCCTGGAAAATCCCATGGACGGAGGAGCCTGGTGGGCTGCCGTCCATGGGGTCACTAAGAGTCGGACACGACTGAGCGACCACTTCATCCTCCCTTTTCCCTTTCATGCATTGGAGAAGGAAATGGCAGCCCACTCCAGTGTTCTTGCCTGGAGAATCCCAGGGACGGGGGAGCCTGGTGGGCTGCCGTCTATGGGGTCGCACAGAGTCGGACACGACTGAAGTGACTTAGCAGCAGCAGCAGCGGCGCATGTGTGTCCTGAAGGTGCTTTATCACCCTTATCAGATGTTACAAGGAATACAAAAGACCAAGAACTGCTTGTTTTGAGGTTTAGAATGAAATAATGTGGGGAAGCCACTAATTCTCAGAGTATGATGAAAGATAAAGAAGTAAAGTGGAAATTACTGCTGTCGTCCAAATGTGTATTAAATAATTAAGGTTATTTCATCATAATGTTGCGCTTCCTTCATGGCTCAGTCGTTAAGGAATCCACCCGCAATGCGGGAGACCTGGGTTCGATCCCTGGGTTGGGAAGATCCCCTGGAGGTGGGCATGTCAACCCACTCCAGTATTCTTG